CTCTTGATTGGTGTGAGTTGCCAGCATGATGCAAGCCAGATATGAATTGATCGAAGAAGGATAGATTTACCATCACTGTGGATAAGAGTCATACTGTAGCTCAGTTGGTTAGAGCATTGCTCGCGAATAGCAAGGTCCCTGGTTCGAGTCCTGGTGGTGTGACTGATGATTTTTTCTTTCTTTCATATCTGGCTTGCAAGTGTTGAGTTTCGGAGAGAAAAGAGCAGTACGTGGCATGTGGCCTCTAATTTCCTAAAAACTTTGAAATTCTCCGTGAAGTCCAAATTTGAAATTGCAATTTGTATTTGCTCCCAGTGGACATAGTTTGATATTTCACCACCTGTCAATTTTAATGCATCTCTCTATAACATGACCCAGCTGTAATGTGAGTGGTGGTATTGATTTCATTTTTTGTTTGCTTGTAGGCCGCTGGCACCCACAGAGGCGCAGAGTGAAGATTCACGGGTAAAAAGTCCCAAATTGTCAGATAGGTTATTTTTCAGCTTTCAGCAGCCCTGGGCAAGTTGTTTAGAGAAATGTGGCTGTATTTCTTGGTGCACTTGTCTATGTCCAGCTACACAAGTAGATGAGGGTGGTCATTGTCATTTTCTGAGCTTCGAACGAGCGGAAAGGTGAGAAAATGTTGAATTTTGACCATTTGTGCTGACCTTTGAATTTCAATGTACCTCTTTATAACATGCCCCAGCTGTGATGTCAGTGGTCGCATTGATTTGATTTTTGGTTTGCTTGGAAGGCGCTGGCACCCACATTCAGTGACCCAGAAAATTTGGCACTGCTGTGAATAGTTTAGTCGGAAAGTGAATATTCACGGGTAAAAAGCCCCAAACTGTCAGATAGGTTATTTTTCAGCTTTCAGCAGCCCTGGGCGAGTTCTTTAGAGAAAGGTGGCTGTTTTTCTTGGTGCACTTGTCTATGTCCATCTACACAAGGAGATGAGGGTGGTCATTGTCATTTTCTGAGCTGCGAACGGGCAGAAAGGAGAGAAAATGTGGGATTTTGACCATTTGTGCTGACCTTTGAATTTCAATGTACCTCTCTATAACATGACCCAGCTGTACTGTCAGTGGTCGCATTGAATTGATTTTTGGTTTGCTTGTAGGGTGCTGGCACCCACATTCAGTGACCCAGAATATTTGGCACTGCTGTGAAAAGTTTAGTCGCAAAGTGAAGATTCACGGGTAAAAAGCCCCAAACTGTGAGATATGTTACTTTTCAGATTTCAGCAGCCCTGGGCGAGTCCTTTAGAGAAATGTGGCTGTTTTCCTTGGTGCACTTGTCTATGTCCAGCTACACAAGGAGATGAGGATGGTCATTGTCTGTTTCTGAGCTTAGAACGGGCAGAAAGGTGAGAAAATGTCGGATTTTGACCTTTTGTGCTGACCTTTGAATTTCAATGTACCTCTCTATAACATGACCCAGCTGTAATGTCAGTGGTCGCATTGATGTGATTTTTGGTTTGCTTGGAGGGCGCTGGCACCCACATTCAGTGACCCAGAATATTTTGCACTGCTGTGAATAGTTTAGTCGCAAAGTGAAGATTCATGGGTAAAAAGCCCCAAACTGTCAGATATGTTACTTTTCAGCTTTCAGCAGCCCTGGGCGAGTCCTTTAGAGAAATGTGGCCGTTTTCCTTGGTGTACTTGTCTACGTCCAGCTACACAAAGAGATGGGGATGGTCATTGTCTGTTTCTGAGCTGCGAACGGGCAGAAAGATGAGAAAATGTCGGATTTTGACCATTTGTGCTGACCTTTGAATTTCAATGTACCTCTCTATAACATGACCCAGCTGTAATGTCAGTGGTCGCATTGATTTGAATTTTGGCTTGCTTTTAGAGCGCTGGCACCTTCATGCAGTGACCCAGAAAATTTGACACTGCTGTGAATAGTTTAGTCGCAAAGAGAAGATTCACGGGTAAATAGCCCCAAACTGTCAGACAGGTTATTTTTCAGCTTTCAGCAGCCCTGGGCGATTTCTTTAGAGAAATGTGGCTCTTTTTCTTGGTCCCCTTCTCTATATCCAGCTACACAAGTAGATGAGGATGGTCATTGTCTGATACTGAGCTATAAACGGGCGGAAAGGTGGGAAAATGTCGGATTTTGACCATTTTTGCTGACCTTTGAATTTCAATTTACCTCTCTATAACATGACCCACCTGTAATGTCAGTGGTCGCATTGAATTGATTTTTAGTTTGCTTGTAGGGCGCTGGCACCCACATTCAGTGACCCAGAAAATTTGGCACTGCTGTGAATAGTTTAGTCGCAAAGTGACGATTCACGGGTAAACGCCCCAAACTGTGAGATAGGTTATTTTTCAGCTTTCAGCAGCCCTGGGCGAGTTGTTTAGAGAACTGTGGCTCTTTTTTTGGTGCACTTGTCTATGTCCAGCTACAGAAGGAGATGAGGATGGTCATTGTCTGTTTCTGAGCTGCGAACGGGCAGAAAAGTGAGAAAATGTCGGATTTTGACCATTTGTGCTGACCTTTGAATTTCAATGTACCTCTCTATAACATGACCCAGCTGTAATGTCAGTGGTCGCATTGATGTGATTTTTGGTTTGCTTGGAGGGCGCTGGCACCCACATTCAGTGACCCAGAATATTTGGCACTGCTGTGAAAAGTTTAGTCGCAAAGTGAAGATTCACGGGTAAAAAGCCCCAAACTGTCAGATATGTTACTTTTCAGCTTTCAGCAGCCCTGGGCGAGTCCTTTAGAGAAATGTGGCTGTTTTCCTTGGTGTACTTGTCTATGTCCAGCTACACAAGGAGATGGGGATGGTCATTGTCTGTTTCTGAGCTGCGAACGGGCAGAAAGGTGAGAAAATGTCGGATTTTGACCATTTGTGCTGACCTTTCAATTTCAATGTACCTCTCTATAACATGACCCAGCTGTAATGTCAGTGGTCGCATTGATTTGAATTTTGGTTTGCTTTTAGAGCGCTGGTACCTTCATGCAGTGACCCAGAAAATTTGACACTGCTGTGAATAGTTTAGTCGCAAAGTGAAGATTCACGGGTAAAAAGCCCCAAGCTGTCAGATAGGTTATTTTTCAGCTTTCTGCAGCCCTGGGCGAGTCCTTTAGAGAAATGTGGCTGTTTTCCTTGGTGCACTTGTCTATGTCCAGCTACACAAGGAGATGAGGATGGTCATTGTCTGTTTCTGAGCTGCGAACGGGCAGAGTGTATGACAATGTGTGTCATGTCTGTGTTGCGCTACCCTTTGTGTGTTTATTAGTAAGTCACGGTGGTCACTGTCAATGTTGCAGCTGTGAATAGTCGGAAAAGGTGAGAAATGGTGAATTTTTGATCATTTGTGCACATGCGCTCATTTCAATGGACCTGTGGGTAAATGGGCCTAGCTGCAGTATATGTGCTGGAACTGCTTAGATTTTTGGGTTGCTAGTAGGCCGCTTCCACTCGTAGGCAGTGCCCCAGGAAAATTGACCCTGCTGTAACTGGCTTGAGTTGCAATTCCGGATGCACGGGAAAAGCCTCAAACTTGGATATAAGCTATTTTCAGGGTTCAGCAGCTCTCGGCAGGTCGTTTATGACAATGTGTGCCATTTCTGTTGTGTACTACCTTTTGTGCACATGCGCTCATTTCAATGCACCTGTGGGTAAATGGGCCTAGCTGCAATATATGTACAGGAATTGCTGAGATTTTTGGGTTGCTAGTAGGCCGCTTGCACTCGTAGGCAGTGCCCCAGGAAAATCGACCCTGCTGTAACTGGCTTGAGTTCCAAGTCCGGATGCACGGGCAAAAAGCCCCAAACTTGGAGGTAGGTTATTATGAGCTTTCAGCAGGCCTCGGCAGGTCGTTTATGACAATGTGTGTCATTTCTGTGGTGCACTACCCTTTGTGTGCCTATTACAGGAAGTCACTTTGGCCACTGTCCATGTTGCAGGTGTGAATAGTTGTTAAAGGTGAGAAATTATGAATTTTGTTGTGCACACCTGTTATTTTCAATGTAACTGTGTGTAAATTGGCCTAGCTGCAATGTGGGCGCAGGAATTGCTTAGATTTTTCAGCTTTTAGTAACCCTAGGTGATTTGTTTATAGAATTTCTCTTTCCCTTTGTACACTCCCTTCCGCACAGCAGAGTTTTAGATGTTCTTCTCCAGGCTTGTTTCTCCTGCCTCATGCCAGAAACAACCAGAGTTCAGACATCAGCAGGCCAAGAAGAAAACACTTTCTGGACTCTGATTGGCCGAGGGCGGTTGGCCACTCATTTCAGGTGTGAAGTTCAGAGCCAGGATAGGCTATAAAAGTAATCATTCCAGGAGGGGATGGTAAGTTTCCCAAACTTGGTGATAGGTTATTTCAGCTTTCAGTAGCCCTGGGCGATTTGTTTATGGAAATTTCTCTTTCCTTTTGTACGCTCCCTTCCGCACAGCTATTCCAGAACGGCATGGTGGTCAGTGTCAGCATTGGAGCTATGAATGGCGAGAAGGTTGAGAAATTGTGCAGATTTGACGACTTTTGCCCAGCTGTCATTTTCAATGTACCTTTTTGTAACTGGGCCCAACTGCAGTGTGTGTGTGTGCTGGGCTTGACTTGCCTCTAGGTCAGCTGGTAGGCCGCTGGCACGCACAGGTAGTGCCGTAGGAAATTTAGCCCTGCTGTAATAATAACCAAGATGGCCATTGTCAGTCTTGGAGCTGTGAATGGCAAGATAGGTGAGAAATTGTCATTTTTGACGACTTGTGCCCAGCTGTCATTTTCAATGTACCTGTGTATAACTGGGCCCAGAAACATGTGAGTATTGGGATTGATTTGATGTTAGGCCCTGCTGTAACCTGCTGTAACATGTAAGATGCCCTGCTGTAACACGTTTGATGTTAGGCCCTGCTGTAACACGCTTGATGATGCTGATACAGTGTACATTGTAGTGTGACAATGTATCATGGTTCCTATATACTGATGAGTAAGACAGCACTCATTACTCATTGCAGCGTCTGCAATCATTACAAACTAGTAGCCTAGTAGTAGGTACACAACAACAGGTTTGTTCCCTTGTCTTTTTCTCTAAAATGGCTAGCCGGCCGGCGGGCACTGTTATCCTCACAAGCGCATGATAACCATAGGCCGCCAGGCTGCTATACAGGCTGAACAGAGTGTGCAGCAAACTAAACATTATCAAGAGATGCCAAGGTACTCTGGTCACACAGATTGCAGTGAGTAGTGCCGACCAGCAGCAGCACAGAGGCAGGTTAACGAGGCAGACAAAATACACTGCACAGGAAAAGCTGTCAGGTGATAGCTGTCAGGTGATAACTGTCAGGTGATAACTGTCAGGTGATAACTGTCAGGTGATAGCTGTCAGGTGATAACTTGCAAAGTATGTGAGTATGTACTTAATGGAACACACACACATAGAGTCACACACAGTCACTCATTCATACACGCATGCATGCACGCAAACACGCATGCATGCACGCAAACACGCACGCATGCACACACACGCACGCGCGCGCACCCACGCACACACACACACACACATACACACATATGGAGCAAGACTGACACTGGGTTGCAAAATACAGATCACATGTTTGCCAGTTTTTGCAGAAATATAATATAAATGGCTCACGCACTGCAAAGCTTGATTGATGCCACCATCTTCATAAGACTCTTCTTCTAACTCATATCTCCCGCAGCGAATCGATTGTACAGGCTTGCAACATACGTCATGACCGACATCCAATCAGGTTTCTCCATCTCTACCATATCGTGAACATCCTGTAGTCAGGAAAAATGAGAGTAACATCCACAACACCACTGCTTTCATTAGTCAATTCATTAGTCAATTCATTAGTCAATTCATTAGTCAATTCATTAGTCAATTCATTAGTCAATTCATTAGTCAATTCATTAGTCAATTCTTACTAAATAGTAGAAGAAATAGAATGGGTTGGTAGGGACAAACTTTGCGCAATACCAAACCCAACCCACATACACTCTCCTAGTCAAAAGATTGCCTTATGAATTTCTTTTATGATTGCTGAGTAGCACTGTCGTACATCGCAATTGAAGAGAGTAGTTGCGATGTCATCTTCCATGCACGATGGCTAATACTATAATGATTGCACTACACCCCCCCCCCCCCCCTCTGCTAATACTATAATGATTGCACAACATATGGCTATGGCTATGATATGGCTAGGGTAAGAGAGGTCTAATTCATTGATATGGCTAGGGTAAGTGAGGCCTAATTGATTGATATGGCTAGGGTAAGAGAGGCAAGGATAGTTCGTTCCTAGCTGAAAAGTTTGAATCGGGCGAATAGCTAATAATTATGCTCTGTTGTGAATTACTAAACTAGCTTGGATGGAGAAGTAACAACTCTCCTCTCTCTCCATTGGAGAGAGAGAGAGAGAGATTTTCATTGAACGGCTTGCTGTGAGAGGTGGACCGAGATTTGGCGGCACTAACAGAAAATATCAAGATCTTGGCCACGGACCTGTGGGACTCGTGCTGGCCACCTATTCATGTGGAAGCCGCCTATCCGTGTGGAAGCCATCTATCCATGTGGAAGCTATCTATCCATGTGGAAGCCATCTACTTTAAAAGCCATAATTATATATATAACGAAGTGCTAACTCTAAGTCTCTAACGAGTTAACGAGGAGAAATCTGTCGTTAAAATAGAAATCGTTCATACAGAAATTGATACATATACTGTCCTATTGAGTGTTGAGAATAAATGAGAATCGTTACCTTTGGTACACGTAAACCAGTCGATTTTGGGAAATCGTTATATATGCGCCTCCGCCGCGTTAGAGTAATGGCTTTTACAGTATCCATGTGGAAGCCGTCTATCCGTGTGTCCGTGTGTCCGTGTGTCCGTGTGTAAGCAAAGCAAACACGAAGCCGTCTATCCGTGTGTCCGTGTGTAAGCAAAGCAAACACGGCCAATACTCTTCTGAAGCGAGTGCGGAGCTTTAGCTGGATTGGTGACTGTCGTACCTCCTGCTGTTTTCTTAGCTGGATTGGTGACCGTCTTACCTCCTGCTGTCTTCCCCACAACACCGGCACATAGCCATGTACAATACAACCTGGTGTTAGCCACCTCTGCGTTTAAGGACCACCTGCTTTTAACCCTTTAAGAGCCACAGGAAATTTTCAAAATTCTGCATTTTTTCGTGTTCTTTGGATCATAGCTTCAGTTCTACTCACTCAATCCTCACAATCTAGGGCTTCCTGGAAAGGTCTCCGCGAGAGGAAGAGAATGAGGTCGATCATGATAGCCAGCACACCGTCTATCCAGCGCTAGATCGCAGCGACAGCACGAAAAATGCCCCAAATGCGTCCAATTGCGTCCCGCTCCAGATATTTCATTTTACTCGATCGTGGAGTTCCAATTTTTTCGCTGTGTACTCTTGACAATATCAACAGTGAAACCCGTGCAAATTCGAGTAAGCCAGCTTGACGAAAAGTCTCAAAATTCTCAATACTAAAGTCGCACTGCGCGCTTTTGAAATTGCCGCGATCGCGGCTCAATTTACGAGTGATTTATCTCAGGAACCGTTGCTCGCAGCGCTTCGCGGATTGTTTCTCCCGACAGGTGAGAGATTTCTCTTTGCCCTGGATATTTCGATCACTGGATTTGAGCGAGATTGTACTGAGTTACGATCTTTTGAAGTTTTGCATTTGAATGCGTCGTTTACGACGCATTCAAGTATGGGGCGGCTCTTAAAGGGTTAACAACCGTTTTTCAAGGCATGACCAGTTCTACATAGAAACTGCACTGGATACAACGACCACCTGCCTTGGGCGACCAGCGACCGATTTTTAGTGTACCAAGTGCCATATTGGACCTGCACACAGCGACTAAAACTAGGGTTGTACCAATGTTGAAATATATGAAGTGGCGATTATGGCAGACCGACTAAGACAAGCAAGTCACACTCATTGCAATGTGTGCAAAGCGACAGTTGTAATGACGCGGAGGAAATACATACCAGCAATGGTGCAACACCGAGCTTCTCTGCAGTTGAAAATGCCAGTTGGAAATTTTCACGCTGTGCAGGCAGAAGGAAAACACACACGCAGATGTGTGTGTGCGCATGCGCACATTGCCACATACATGCGTATGGATCAAAACGCATTAACACACATACACATGCATGCATGTGGATGCACACAAGTAAACAAGCTCGCGATCTCCCGACCTCTGGGTCCTTCGTGATCTAGTCACAAGCGATATTCATGCTTGCTTGCTGTGTTCGTTTATCAATCTTGCGAGTTCGTTCATTTTCAAATTTTTCGACCGAATATTCGAACTTCCATTCGTTCGTTTCATTCGGGGAGCTCACCTTATTAGCCGCTTGAAGAGTGTCAAAGGCTATTTTCCTTGGCTGGTAGCTATGTATTAGCGCACAAAATGCTAGACCACTGCTCCAGGACCGGCTAAAGTCACGAACATCAACGTTCTGTAATTGACCAAACGGACCACACAGGCACACACGTACACACACGTACACACACACACACATACACAATAGAGAGGTTCCGCATAACGCAGTTATGTTAGTAAAAACGTAGTCGATCTACGGAAAGTCTTACGTAAACTGCATGCGGATCTGTGTTCCGCCACACAGAGTTTTCAAATCACGTTGCTGCCCTTCGCAACTCCGAACGCGGCAGTGTACGACCGGATCGACCTGGGGAGAGAGTCATAAATTTGTGCCCCAATCCACTTATAAATTGAGACGGTAGAGAGGTTCTGCATTACGTAAAGTTCAGCAACTTCACGTCAGTGGGCGGGAAAACCCGTGAATTCGCGAGTTTGCACTCCGATTACGGAAAGTTGTCTACGTAGAGTACGTAGATAGGGCTCTGATAATGTAGAGCCCTACCTACGTACTCTACGTAGACAACTTTCCGTAATCGGAGTGCAAACTCGCGAATTCACGGGTTTTCCCGCCCACTGACGTGAAGTTGCTGAACTTTACGTAGTGCAGAACCTCTCTACCGTCTCAATTTATGATACACCTTATACCCCGATTTCTGGAGGTGAAATTTGTGTTGTGCTATTCTCAACCGGAAAAGATCTTTGCCCGCAATGACGGGACAGCATGAACTTCAAAATTTATCGTTAGGCAGGTTGTTATAGCCAGTTGAAATATAACGGCACAAAAAACACAAACACACTCACTCACTCTCTCTCTCTCTCTCTTTCTCCCTCTCTGTCTGTCTGCCTGTCTGTCTGTCTGTCTGTCTGTCTGTCTGTCGGTCTGTATGTCTGTCTGTCTGCCTGTCTGTCTCTCTCTCAATACATATACTATATATATATATACGCAGAGCTCACTGACTTGTCAATTTGAGCACTCTGGCAAGGTACGTTCGGGCCGGATTTAAAGCTGGCTTTGGAAATTGTATTTTCATTGCTATCAGGTTCGGCCTCATTTTCTCTGTGCTGCGCTGAGGAGTTCACAAAGAACAAAACAGCATGCTGTCCGCAGATTGAGTAAATATACTTCAGCAGAAAGAGACTTGTTTGATTCATTGCTGTGTAATACAGTGCGTGGTATCTATTATTTATACTTCCTCCGCGTCATCGAAATTGTCGCAGTTTGACTTTTGACATAAAACGGGGTATTTACTCACCAGCACTCGTTCCAGAGGCAAGGAATCCGACATAGGCGATAGTCATCAGTATAGGGTGACGGCAAAGTTCTATTTTCTGTTATTGGAATCTGAAATTTTCGAACTAGACGCAATTTCTTCGCTGATGTCGCTGCGATGGTAATTTCAACTCGCTGAGATCAGTCAGGCGTTGCAGCCTGCACATTTCTCGTGCTTATGGCCATTCACTCGAGCCTCATCACTGTTTTACCTTAGCTGGGGTGAGATTGACTTCGTGGAACAAGTAGCAGCGCTCGGAGAAACATCGAGGGGTCAGCAAACTAAATGCATGCAACGGCGATAAAATTTGTTTCTCTGGCTGAGACACTCAGTGCAGTACATGATTTTACCTGCAAGAGCCGTGTACTACGGTGTAGACTCTACACGAAGTGCTAGTGATGCACGCGCAGGTGCCTTACCAGTGATGCTGAAAAAGAGGGCGCGCTGGATGACAGTACACTTACCTGCATGAGCTGTGACCACACAGCTAAAATATATGGGCATGCCACGGCTAAAAAAAGTTCATTTCAAGATCGAGGTGGTTCCGCCGACGGTAATCAACCGACCTCGCAACGATCGTTTATTCTTACTAGGCTTCGTTGGTGGCGAAGTAGAAATTATCCAGAGCTAGCAGACGACAAACATAGCAGCTCTTGTCCTGTGGAGAAAGTCAAAGCGTCTGAGATGAGGCGCGACCAACTTTCAACCTTCCTTGAAATATTTCGGAACGATATTTTTGCGTCCATTGACATCAGCGGCGACGAGGACTTCATCTCTGCATGAAAACTCTCAGTCCAACTGTCCTGGAACGTTACTCTAGTCTTCAGACTATCATACTGTGTAATAAGTTTTGAATGGTTTAGCTTATGGAGTTGTCAGTAACAAGTGGCAAGTCACTAGTCAAACTGCGACAATTTCGATGACGCGGAGGAAGTACTTGAGACAAGAGAGAGAGTTTGGAAGCTTTGTTACAACTCTGAGTTTCATGTATTACTACGATCATCAGGCAACTGATGGATCCAAAACGGGCAGCCAGAACATAAGGGGGAGCAAGGTGGGAAATTCTGAGGGGTGTCATAGGCGACGCGTATCATAGCGCAAGAGTCAGGTGCAGGCGTGAAGTTGCCAAGTCTTCAGACTTGGGGCTATGCAGCAGTAGTAGTTCCGGCATGAATGATATAGAATAGAGCTGGGGACAAATGCCAAATCCACACATGCCCACACCACTACACAAACATACACCCACACTCTCTCCCTTTTCTCACATACACATACACTCACACGCGCGTCCACACACACACATTCTCTAAATCTCTCTCTCTCTCTCTCTCTCTCTCTCTCTCTCTCTCACACACACACACACACACACGGACATATATATCTTTCTTTCTCTATCTGTTTTCTCTTTTTTGTCTCTCTCTCTCTCTCTCTCTCTCTGTCTGTCTGTCTGTCTGTCTGTCACTCAGTTTGTCTGTCTGTCACTCAGTCTGTCAGTCAGTCAGTCTGTCTGTCAGTTTGTCTGTCTGTCTGTCTGTCTCTCAGTCTGCCTATATCTCTCTCCCTCTCTCTGTGTCTGTCTGTTTGTTTGTCTCTGTCTTTATCTCTGCATCTGTCTGTCTGTCTCTGTCTATCTCTGTCTATCTTTCTCACTGTCTCTCTCTCACACTGTGCAGTCAACCCTACAAACTCTCTCTCTCTCTCTCTCTCTCTCTCTCTCTCTCTCTCTCTCTCTCTCTCTATGTGCAAACTCAACCCTAAAAACTACGTCTCTGTCTTCGTCTCTGTCTGTCTGTCTGTCTCTCTCCGTGCAAACTCAACCCTACAAACATCACACTTACTTTGTAAGACTTAGTGCGAAGTCGGCACCACTCCAGGAGCATTTGCTTTTTAGTTGACACAGAGGATGATCGACTATGAGAAGGTACACTGGTCTCTGCTGAACTGGCTCCTACAGAGCATGATGATGTGGACGAATCCCCAGCACGGCTCGAATGTTTACGACTTCAATCACAAAAAAACACAATGACAGGAACAAGTGTGTTGGATGCCATTCATTTCCCGACAAAAACACTATGCAAGCAGCATTCTACTTCGTTGAATCCATCCTAGTTCTCTAGATGTGGAGCAGCTTACTTGCGTATTTCTCAGCCACATGTACAGACAATCCAGATTTGCTGAGACTAGCACGTTACTACATACACTCGTATTGAACAGACAAACAAAAGCAAACATGCATAATAATTATTGTTGACAGTGCGAGTGGAAAAACAGTACAAGGTTATTTAGAGAGTTGCAGCAGTTAACCATTGATAGCTGCTGCCAAGGTGGCTTAGGTAGCGGCAGGGGTCAACCAGTGATAGCTGCTAGAGCAGCGGTGGCGGCTTACCCAGGTGTTGAAGATGTCTGCTGTGCCTGCTGTGTGTGCTCATTAATATCACATACTGAACTGGCATGCTGTGCTGGGTTGGATGAAGCAATACTATGCCGGTGACTTGAACTGGAATTACTACGACTCTTCTTTGTGCGCACTGGTACCGCTGTGTGAGACGGAGAGGCCGTATTAATGGAATCCTTGCTTCTTGATCTTCTCAAGACAGTGTGTTCTGAACAGAAAAGAGAATGCAATCAGAGCGCACCCAAAAACCAGCAGCAGAACATCAGTCAGGCTATGCAGTTTACGATAGACTGCATAACCACAGCCTCCCCCCTCTCCCCCCACACTCCTCTCTACACAATATCATGTACTTATGTCATGCCACTAGGGACAATCTAGGGTACACACCCAAGCAAGCACGCATGCCCACACACGCACACATGCTGGCACACACGTACACACCATGTAGCATGTGCACCTGTCACAAGAGAAGCACACAAATCCGCGAAGGCACTGGATGTGCACCCACCGATTTTCTTTTATAGCAACAATGCTGAATAAGACCTGCAGGAACATAGATTGCTTCACATTCCACACAGCTTGCAAATCCATGTGAATTAACCCCTAATACGCACCTGGTCTATACCACACAGAGTAGGAAATCGGGGACGGTCAAGAGCAGCCTATACAGTATACTTGCTGGGGTGGTAACCAGTACTGATAGACACTGCTGGGGTAACCAGTACTGATAGACACTGCTGGGGTAACCAGTACTGATAGACACTGCTGGGGTAACCAGTACTGATAGACACTGCTGGGGTAACCAGTACTGATAGACACTGCTGGGGTAACCAGTACTGATAGACACTGCGGGGTAACCAGTACTGATAGACACTGCTGGGGTAACCAGTACTGATAGACACTGCTGGGGTAACCAGTACTGATAGACACTAAGATGATTAGATAGAAGCAGACACTACATGAACTGGTGCCTTGAAGCAAAATTGGAGGTACTTTACCAACCAGCTTCAGCAACCGAGTCCACACACACACACACACACACACACACACACACACACACACACACACACCTTTGACCTTTGACGCCCATCGCCGGTGGCGATGATAGCAATGCTACGGCAGAAGCCATAGCAACTTGTGCTGGGATTGCACCATTCAACAGCTTGCAAGGCACACACACACGCACACACACACACACACACACACACACACACACACACACTTGTACTTGCTCACTGCCAAAATTGGTCACGTGGGTCTCCCCGGGAGAGCGGAGAGAGACTCAAAAGGAATCTTGGAAAGATGACTCAATTGGCTATTGAACCACCCAACGGCCGACGCCCCCTGAAATCCTCAAACTAGGGTGAACTTGAAATGATCCCACTTATGGGCTCACCACACCTCAGTAAGTGGGTGAGGACAAGGTGCAGAAAAAGGATTGACGGCATCAGGGTATCCGTCCTGGGATCCAACTGCAGTTACCCCTGCCCCCAGTGAAGGTAATACTTGCTACTAGTGTGGGTGGCTAAATCAGAGTGGATCTGATATAATCCACACACACGCACGCACGCACGCACGCACGCACGCACGCACGCACGCACGCACGCACGCACGCACGCACGCACGCACACACACACACACACACACACAAGTATGCGGGCAGGCACACATGACATGTACCTTTTCTTGTCCTGTCTGCAAGTATGTAGGTACACTTACAATGACAAAAGCAGCATACTGAAGGACTGAAGGACTGAAGGACGGAAAGACCCATGAACCCATGAACGGAATTTGAAGCACATGTAATGATGTACAGTCAAATAGATCTTGGACATCATCTCACCTTCTGAATCTAGTGCAGGCGATTGAGAAACTTCATTCTTTTTGCTAGTTAGCTTCTCTTTACGAGGACGCTTGCTTGGCGTAGCACTAGTTGAAGTGCCAGCAGTGGCACCACCAGCAGCAGAAGCAGCAGCAGTGGGAGCAGCAAGAGAAGCACGAGACACTGACGCACTCAGCCTTTCTTCCAATGCTTTCCTATTTGCTTTCTCTTGTTGCAGTGCAGCCTCCAAGTCCGTTTTTTGCTTCAATAAGCGTTTGTTGTCCTCCATCTCTTCATTGATCTGGTTATGAAGGACTTCTTCTCCTACTTGCAGCTCAGCAACACGCAACTCCAGTTCATTTAAAACAATTAGGCGCTGCTCTTGCTCACGAACAGTAGATCGGAGATACTCTGCTTCATCTTGGAATTTCTTCACTTGGATATCTTTCATATCAATCTGAACAGTTGAGCAAAGCCAGCGCAAATAAAAGACAACATGAAGAAATCAAGAAAAAGGGCAATACATCATACTACGTCTCACCATCAAGCAATACATCACTATTACCAAGAGTAGATAAACAAGAGTGTGCAACTCCGGATCTCTCCTGCACAATCTGCAGATACCCCTGCCCAAGGCGGAATTTTTTGTTGACGTCACCTTTTTTCAGAGAAACGCGCATTTTGCCGATAGCAGTGTGAGAGCACGTGCTGGGCACCGACCTTGTGGCGTCAAACCCGGCCAAGAGCACGAGCAGAGTCAAACATACCCAATTTCATGCTACACGTGTATGGTCATGTGACGGGAATGGACTAAGAGACCATTTCTCGCGCGAGCATGTGTTGTCTCCCTGTGCGCTACGACTCTCTGATATTTACCTACAGGAATCCCGATGTACTGACTACAATTATGCAACCTATGCTACTAGAATAAGGGAGTAAACAACAATACTGGAGAGTGCACAGAACATCGACCTGATCACTTCAATGTTTGTCTACACGCCATTTTGTCTATTGTTTCCAGTGCCATCCTACATACAGTAAAAGTTGGGATAAGCCACCTCTGGTATCAGTGACCATCACCGCCTCTGGTATCAGTGACCACCACCGCCTCTGGTATCAGTGACCATCACCTCTGGTATCAGTGACCATCACCTCTGGTATCAGTGACCACCACCACCTCTGGTATCAGTGACCATCACCTCTGGTATCAGTGACCATCACCTCTGGTATCAGTGACCATCACCTCTGGTATCAGTGATCACCACCTCTGGTATCAGTGACCATCACCTCTGGTATCAGTGACCACCACCTCTGGTATCAGCGACCATCACCTCTGGTATCAGTGACCATCACCTCTGGTATCAGTGACCACCGCCTCTGGTATCAGTGACCACCTGATTTTATTGATTGTTTTCCATTCACAGACTGTTCTGCATGGAAACTGCACTGGGAACAGCCACCACCTGCGTTGCGACCAGCGACCGACTTGTAGTGTTCCAAGTGCCATATCTGACCTGCATACAGCAACCAAAATGCTGTCCTGGCTGTCAGGCTTGACTGCAACCGGGTTGAAATACGTTCAGAAGCCAGTGGCAGTGCATGCAGTCAACGTTTCTGTGACAAGTAACAGTGCAGGGTGCTGGCACTGCATGCACTTGAGTGAGGTGTGAAGCTCATGGGTGTTTCGTCTGCATGAAAGTGTTCTGCACCCAACACCTGTCAATATGAGTAGAATTATGGAAGTATGTGCGCGATCCGGCATGCCGCGCATGAACGGGACCTTGTTCTAAAGACCAACTGGTTTTAACGACCACTTTTGTTTGCACCGTGGTGTGGTCACTTAAACCAGGGTTTACTGTATTACAGTGGATCTACAGTGGATCTATAGTGGATTTACAGTGGATTTACAGTGGATTTATAGTGGATCTATAGTGGATCTATAGTGGATCTATAGTGGATCTACAGTGGATCTACACTGGATCTACAGTGGATCTACACTGGATCTATAGTGGATCTACACTGGATCTATAGTGGATTTACAGTGGATTTATAGTGGATCTATAGTGGATCTACAGTGGATCTACAGTGGATCTACACTGGATCTACACTGGATCTACAGTGGATCTACAAGAGCATACAATACCTCATGCATTACAAGCGCACTTACCTGATCTGATAAATCTTGTTTCAAAGCTTCCATTGCTTCTGCATGACTCTTCTCAGCCGAAGATAACTTCTTGGAGGCAGCATCTATGGCTTTACCTAAAGCCTCAACTTCCCCATGATGCTCCTTCTCCTTGTTCTCTCGGACTTTGGCTTGCTCATCTAGGTCCTTTGTTAGCTTGGTCACCTGCAAGCTGAGATGTTGTTCCTGCCGTGTAGCTTGCTCTAGTTTCTTTGCTTTCTCTTGCTGCACCTTCACCAGGCTGTCACATCTTCTCTATAGACACACATCGGTAGACATTCCCACATCAATGCACGCAAGTACATGTATGACGCAACATTGCAACATTGTGCTGAACCTCAAACACTGAGTCCTACTACAAGAAATTGCAAAGAGATGACACTAAAAGTAGATTGAAGAAACCAGACCATAGTGGCATACATGTGTAAGTAAATCGACTTCATCTGTAGCAAACATGACACTTTCACCCTTCTATCAGCAGTAATGCACAAAAATACCCACTCGTTGCCACATGCATAACCAGAAGGAGGTCCATTTGCAACTCCAATAATCAGAACTGGCACCAGCACCAGCACCAGCACCAGCACCAGCACCAGCACCAGCACCAGCACCAGCAGAACCACCATCAGTATACCCCCACAACAAGGCCTACACCACAACATCAGCACCAGAATTAGCACCAGAATTAGCAAGTGTTTGGCAAAAATCACGCCTGCAATGGCAATAGGTGAAACTTTGCACACATTAAAAAAATTGAATATCTACCTGTGGCTGTTGTGTATCTCAAGGTAAAGTATTCGAACAAGCAGAAAGTAGAGTATTGGAACAAGCAGAAAGTAAAGTATTGGAACAAGCAGAAAGAAGACAACAATTCTATAATCACAATCTTCCATATGTCGGCAGTACTGTGATTAGATGTTTGTGCTCAAACAATGGTTCCTAGAATGATTCCTATATGAATCATTTCTTTGTGCTTTGTTCAGTAGAACAACAAAGATTCCTGATGAGTGTTGCATGAAACTTGACCGAATATTTCTCCGTCGTTCTTTTCTTCACCATTTCCTCCTTGATCTTCGCTAATTTTTTGCAAATCGCTTCCACCTATTCGTACTGTATTAATGAAGTACCGTTAAACACATGTTGATACCGCTTGTCCTCCTGATTACGATATTAAATGTCCTGTCTCCTCGCCGTTTGTTCAAAAACTTAAAGTTGAGAATTTAATAGGAAAGAAATCGTGGTAGAGACTCCACCACTGCTATACGCACATGGACACTATTTTGAAGTACGGTCAAGCATCAATTCTCCCAACACCTTAGGACATATGCCATTAAGAAAAGGTTTGGAAGGGGAATGTTCGGATAATAGGAGTCACAACGCGTGTGATAGAGCTTCATCATCAAACAATGCTGCCGTGCACAACATCATGCACTAGTAATTCTACTATGCAGTGCCAGTGGCCAAGTGCCATGTGCCATGTGCCATGTGACATGTTAGTACCAGTCCACCAGGACAACACACATACACCTGCTACATGTACAAACTACACGAGGTACAAGTGCACTGGTCAACACTGGTCAACACTGGTGAACTCAAGTCATGCGTCGTAAATGTTCTTGTTTGGGAGGGGGGTCCCCAGCTGTTCAGGATAATCAATCGGCCGAATAGTCGATGTCCGGGTCATCCATGCGCTACTGTAAAATACTTCAGTCCTACATGAGATAGCATTACAACAGTATATTAAAGAGAAACTTACCTCAAAATCGGATGCCAATGTGGTGAGTTTGGCAACTGCTTCTCGACATTCGTCAAATCGCTGCTTTCCGAGGACCTGCACTGAATCCAATTCAGAGCGTAACTGAATTACTGTATCTGCTTCTGCACCGGATGAGCCCTTTGCCCTTGTTCTCTCTGTCTCCGCGGCTGCTTTCACTGCCGCTTTCAAGTCTTGCTTAGCTGTGTTCAACTGCAGGGTGAGCTGTTGGATCTTCTCCTCATCTTTGCTGTGTTGACCACGTGCAGCTTTCAGTGTGTCTGAGAGAGCATCCTTGTCTGAAACAGCCAATGCTGTACTGGACTGCAGTATTGGGTATACGTGTGTGTATATGTGTGTGTACACGCGTACACATACACACACACACACACACACACACACACACACACACACACACACACACACATACACACACACACACACACACACACACACACACACACACACATACACACCATCACATGCACATGCACAAACACACACATGCACGCGCTCACACACACACACACATGCACACACACACAAACACACACACACACACACACATGCACGCACAAACACACCCACCCCCACACACGCATGCACGCACGCACACACACAGACATGCACATCATCAAAAGGACGGAAAAGATAAAGGGCCCAAGGTCAAGGGTTTGGCAGTCAGAATGGATGCCACTCCGCTTTGGGCATGCACATATCATGGCTGTTATTCTGACACGCATGGTGAGACAACTCTCATTCTCCAAGGATCCATGGGATTAGAATGGTGCTGCTGCTGGTGTTATGTGGGTATTTAGTGTACCATCTAATCTAAATTGCTATTGTTATAATTATATCTGAGTACTAGTATCCTGGAAGTGAGTTATTCAATCTTGATTGCATACTGAGTGCTTCACCATTATAGTAAGCCGGAAATTAAACAATTATAGGCATGCATCAATGTACAAAGTATCCTAATCATGGCCTAGTCAAAGAAAACACCGTTTGATGCCTATGTGTTCAATTTTTTTGGGACGTGGGAATCTGGCCATTTACTGTCTGTGTTGCGGAAAGCCAAGCGCAGTGACCCGAAGACCGGAATTGTAGCAGGGGCAACTGACATCCTGGAGAGCGTGACAGTCACGCGTGCACGGCAGAGCAGTATGAGCACCATGCCGGAGAAGACCGGAGTTTTCGATGCGATGCGAGCAACGTTTTGTTATTTCGTCGTGGTGCTGGACTCCTAAAACTGGGAAGCCCTTGCACTACCACCACAATGGCGCAAGGCCCCAAACCACAAAGGCAAACCAGCAGCATAGGGCACGACACGGGGTTTGACATTCGAGTGCCAGCGTGGTCAGCCAGCCAGCTCAGTCGCCAGACTTGAACTGGAACGACCTAGCATTCTTTGCAAGCCTGCAAACTGATGTCAGATGGTGGCAAAGAAGACAGTATCCGGTCTGGCAGCAGGATTACACGAGCGTATAACAGCTGTATGGAGAGGCCTGTGTGCCTCATTCCCACCGTTCCTTCAAGCACCGAAGTGACAGCCACAACTGTTCCTTTCCTATCGCTGCCATATGCCAGGCTGAGAAAGCAAGAGATGCTCTACGCCAGCAGCTAGACACCAGCAGCTAGACACCAGCAAATGTCAGCTCAAGTAAGCAGCTGGCAGCTCCACAGCTCAGTGATGCACAGTTGAATGAACTCTGGACCTGTAAAAGCGTGAGTGCAAGAACGTGCTCCCTGGCTGATTTATTTTGTACATTTGCTTGTAACCTTGCTTCCTTTCTTAGACTCGCTTCACCAGATTCCAGTGCTGAAATTTATTTCTTGTGGCGGAGAATATTCATGTATCATGCTTCTTCACTATACCTATTGGAAATTTCACACAGCGGTAAAAAACTCCTGTTCTTAGTGGCGATAGATAAGCAACAATTGCGAAGAGCCGGACCAAGTAAAGTTATATCACTGTATATACTACACACACCACACTATTCAGGGGCGTCGCACACGGTACGGTCACTACGGTATTGACCGTATCACTTTTTGCCCCAGGTACCCCGTGAATCAACCAAATACACTGATCTGGGATCTAAAATTCCAAAATTTTCGGCTCAGCCACCACTCCCCTACGAGTAAATTGTACTTCAGATGGCTGACCGTACCACCGTACCACACTAAAATACCAGTTCCGATGCTGCCCCTGCTGTAAGTATAAACACACCACACTAAAAGTATAAACACACGATCCACTGCACTAGATGAAGAAACACGGCTACCATACACACCTGCATATCCTGGAGTTGCTTCGCCATTTTCTGTACAATCCTCTCAGTATGTGAGTCACTGTCATCACGTGATAAGCGATACATCTCCAGCTGGAGAAAAATACCATGATTTAAGAAACAAAACACTGTCAGACTGGGTGGCAGGTGTATAACCAACAAGCATAACTTGTGACATGCCGAGATATTCTTCCCCTCTCCCCAAGCCACTATTCCCTCAGGAAATTTTGTTTGATCCATCCATCAGCCCCATCTTAGTTCCTATGTACCGTAATTCCGCGCATATAAGCCGTGTGTGAAATAATGCAGTTTGGGGATATAATATCCAGTAAAACATGTTCGCTTTTTAGCCCATGGGCCAATATTCGAATTTTGAAAGTTCACGAAAAAGTACAAGTCCGTTCTCATAGTGGGTCTATCATATTCTACTGGTAAACTACTAGACTCCACTGACCTGCACTGACCTGCACTGACCTGCACACTGACATGCACACTGACATGCACACTGACCTGCGCTGACCTGCGCTGACCTGCACTGACCTGCTGTACCATGGTAGCAAGAGTCCATATTGTGAAAGTATTCTACTTGACAAGTGAGTCATATGTGTGCCTGTTTATTAGCCCATGGGCTTATAAACGGAGGTGGGCTTATATCCGGATATAGGCCCATGGGCTTATATGCGCGGAATTACGGTAATCCACAGTATTCATGGCACACTTCAACACAATCACACTTCAACACAATCACACTTCAACACAATCACACTTCAACACAATCACACTTCAACACAATCACACTTCAACACAATCACACTTCAACACAATCACACTTCAACACAATCACACTTCAACACAATCACACTTCAACACAATCACACTTCAACACAATCACACTTCAACACAATCACACTTCAACACAATCACACTTCAACACAATCACACTTCAACACAATCACACTTCAACACAATCACACTTCAACACAATCACACTTCAACACAATCACACTTCAACACAATCACACTTCAACACAATCACACTTCAACACAATCACACTTCAACACAATCACACTTCAACACAATCACACTTCAACACAATCACACTTCAACACAATCACACTTCAACACAATCACACTTCAACACAATCACACTTCAACACAATCACACTTCAACACAATCACACTTCAACACAATCACACTTCAACACAATCACACTTCAACACAATCACACTTCAACACAATCACACTTCAACACAATCACACTTCAACACAATCACACTTCAACACAATCACACTTCAACACAATCACACTTCAACACAATCACACTTCAACACAATCACACTTCAACACAATCACACTTCAACACAATCACACTTCAACACAATCACACTTCAACACAATCACACTTCAACACAATCACACTTCAACACACTTCACTTCAACACGATCACACTTCAACACGATCACACTTCAACACAATCACACTTCAACACAATCACACTTCAACACAATCACACTTCAACACAATCACACTTCAACACAATCACACTTCAACACAATCACACAGCTACAGTACATACACAGTGCGATACTACCAGGGAGTTGTATAGACCTGGGAGTTGTATAGACCAGGGAGAGGTCACTGCACAGATTTCCGAGGACAGGGTCCGACTAAAGACAATATCCGTGAAATTTGTGTCACCGAGTACTCTCAACCCCGGTGAATTTTTAGGTCGCAATGACGAAGAGGAAACGGCCCTACCGAGGTGATCTCTTTCCCATTTTGAACAATTCTTTTTGAACAATTCTTTTTGAACAATTCTTTGGCTAATGTTAGAAAAGTGCACTGTGGTTCACTGAGGCTAATCCAAGTGGGTAAAAAGGAAGCGAGTCTAATGGGTGGTAGTGCCTTTGCTGTTTGCGCTGCCCCAGAGCTTGCTGACTTTGCAGTTTGCGCTGCCCCAGAGCTTGCTGACTTTCGGTCCGTGCACTCGGACAAGGTACGTTGAAGCCTGGTTTAAGTCTGGCTTTGAACATTAATTTTCATTGCTATCAGGTTAAGCCTCAGGTTCTCTGTGCTACGCTGATCAGTCCACAAAGGAGTACTTTCCAGTTTAGAGAGTGTCCATTGATCAGCTAACATACTGAGATAGAAAATGATGTGACTGAGCACACTACTAGCACACTACTAGCACATTACAGGGGCGTAGCAGCCGGTCCGGCCAGACCACTTGTTCGCCCAGAAGTGCCCAGAATGCAGGGCTTTGCACCCAATTTCAATATTTTCCCGGGGGACACCCCCCCTACTACCGGACCACCTCCAACAGCAGCGCTACTGTGACGCGCCTGCATTTACTAGCACACTAGAACTGCACACTAGAACTGCCCTACTGCGGAGCAGTTTGGCGGGAGATTGGCTGCTTACCTGGCGTTTGGCCATTCTCAGCTGAGCTGTAAGGACATCTTTCTCAGCTTGAACAACACCAATTTTGTCTTCACTGGACAGAAGCGCATTTCGAAGATGTGCCTGCTGCTTCTTCACACGTCGTAGCTCTTTAGAATCTCGGTTGGCTGCTGAATGTTCATCAGAGCTGCACAAATCCTGATCAACACAGTCAGTATCAGCATCTCCATCATCATCATCGTCATCATCATCTCCATGATCATTGGAGTAGCAGGATCCAGGTGATGAGGTTGGCGTAACTCGACTAGAGTAACTGCCAAAACCACTATCCCTTCCATCCGTTTGATTGGAGCAACTGCGCAACCCCTGAGAAGGAGTAACTTGTCCATTATGCCGTTCAGCATTACCATCCTGTCCATCGTATTCGTCGTCTTCCTCGTCCTCGTCTTCTTCTTCTTCTTCTTCTTCTTCAACCGTAGTCATACACCGCGATCGATGTGGATAGTTGACATTATCCGCTACAAACTCACTGTCATCTTCGTAGTCTTCTTCACAGTCGTTGTCAGTCTCCGCTTCACTATCCTCTCCCTCTTCCTCATCTTCTTCCATTTCATGTTCCACGTCAGTTTCTTCATCCTCGTCACACTCTATTCAACGGGTACAAGTGTTAAACGTCATCAAAGCACACACAAGCACACACACACACACACATATACACACACATATATATACACACACACACACACACACACACGGCGACAATGAATTTCAGGGTATGAAGAGTTCTCGCCACTAAATCGAATGACCTTTGTCCGAGGAGGCTGCAGTCCACGGTTCGTCAGATATTCTCAAGCAAACGTGAGCGAACGTGAGCGCACAGTCTACCTAATGCGGTGATGACATTACAGCGTGCAGCCAGGTAGTCACACCGTCTATTTCTGTACAAAATGAACAGTGCGGCGTTGATTGGGAAAAGATACATTATTTTGTCATTTGTGGCAGCTTCTTTGGACCAAAATCAATCGACTCAGTGTTACAGACACTACGCACCCTGTTTCATTTCTGCCAATCTTCAGGCTATTCCCGCTTTCAACCTTTTCCGAGTTGGATTTTCATGTACTTGACATAATAATATATGCCTGAGTTATCAGACTCATTATACGAAACAGTAGTCAGTAGGGCCTGTGTCTACATATACCATTACTAGTGTACTGCTTTTCCTTGCTGTCGTGCTACGTGCTTGATGTGCGAGTCGTGCCCATACATGCATACCTAGTGCTTGATGTGTGAGTCGTGCCGATACATGCATACCTAGTGAAAGTACACAGCCTTGTCATGTACATAGTCAGGGAAGGTGTGCTCAGCCAGGCAGGTGGTGGTCTTATTTTCAGGGATTAGTTCAGCCTTATTTGGGATTAGTTCAGCCTTATTTGGGATTAGTTCAGCCTTATTTGTGCTGCTGTAACAATGAGTCCACAACTGAGTGACAAGTAAGAAAATAGTGAACAGCTCCCAGAAATAAAACTTAAAAATTCCGTTGTGCTGTGAATTTCACACATCAGACCCAACCGAATCCTGCGTGCTGTAAAATCCTGTGTGTTGTAAAATCCTGTGTGCTGTAAAATCATGTGTGCTGTAAAACCATGTGTGTTGTAAAATCCTGTGTGTTGTAAAACCATGTGTGTTGTAAAATCCTGTGTGTTGTAAAATCCTGTGTGCTGTAAAATCATGTGTGCTGTAAAACCATGTGTGTTGTAAAATCCTGTGTGTTGTAAAACCATGTGTGTTGTAAAATCCTGTGTGTTGTAAAATCCTGTGTGTTGTAAAATCCTGTGTGCTGTAAAATCATGTGTGCTTTAAAGCCTATGGCCCTTAGCAGTGCAGTGTGCATCTGCGTAACTGGGGAGTGTGATTGCAGTTGGAAAGAGAAGTTCAATCTTTGTTTCTCTTTCGAGCAGTAACACTGATCAGAGAGCATTTCCAATGTGCTAAAACTGGCCGATACGTTGTTTCCGGTTACACTTTCACTTGGAAACACTAGAAATCATCACGACAGGTGCAGTGCAGTCCACAGTCAAATGAACCTGCGTTAATTTGTTTGTCCAAGAGCCTTCCTTTAGGACGGTGGAGATCATCAAACTTAAAGAAGGAGCTTCGAACTACCTTCGATTTCCTACATTGCGGTCGCTACTTATGGGTAAAAATCAACATTGTGACGAGAAAAGGCGGTCACAGGTCGCTTTGACCAGGTAATCACCAGTCACAGTGCATTTACAGTGTGAGAGCGTACATGCCTGGAGAAGTGGTCGCTAGTTGGTCGCTAGTCAGAGGTCAGTTGCTGGTCACCGTGGTTTTTGGCCACACATATCACTGAATCAATAAAGAAAGTGAGTTTAAGCCCGTTCCATTTTGCGGCGTGCAACATTCTGAAAAGGTACCACCCCTCTACTCGGGGCCATGTGCCATAATAAGATGGACTCTGTGCTCTGTGTGTGACTCTGTGCTCTGTGTGTGACTCTGTGCTCTGTGTGTGACTCTGTGCTCTGTGTGTGACTCTGTGCTCTGTGTGTGACTCTGTGCTCTGTGTGTGACTCTGTGCTCTGTGTGTGACTCTGTGCTCTCTGTGTGACTCTGTGCTCTGTGTGTGACTCAGTGCTCTGTGTGTGACTCTGTGCTGCTACAGAAATGCACTGTCATGGTATAAGACTGTGGGGATAGGTGTAACTGTGCAACAAACCATACCTTCATCATCTTCATACGCCGCTGACTCACTGTCTTCATCCAGGAGTTCAGTACTGCTGACGTGTTGCTGTTTACCATCTTGCTCTTCTTCGTCCCAGCAGCTGTCTGACTCGTCGTACTCTTCATCATCCTCATTCTCTTCTTCTTCCTCGTCATCATCTTCTTCTTCTTCTTCTTCTTCACCTTGGCTGTAATCAGCCTCTCCTCCCTCGTCATCATCATAATATTCTGTATCTCCTTCTTCTTCACACGCATCATCTTCCTCTTCTTCTTCTTCTTCTTGGCTGTTCTCACCGCTATAGAATGTGCCGTCGTCCTCCTCTTCTTCCTCACCATCATCTTCACTTGGGTCAACACCTCTATGACGCATACTTGCTTTCATCATGGCTTGATGCATTTCATCCAATAATTGCCTTTCTCTTTCTTGACTGTCCTTTGAGTTGCCGCAATGGCTACCAAACGCTGGTCGTCGTACTGTGCCATGGCTACTGTGTCTTGGATTGTCATTACGCTGCGACGTTGCCAACTTTGCTGCTGATTTCCCTGATGCAGTGGATGGCAGATGTTTTTTTCGGTTCAAGTCATTGTGTTGGGAAGTCGAGCAGCCAGCGTTCATATTACTGCTGCTGCTTTTCTTGGTGCCGTTGGGCTTGGACTTAGAGAGTGCAGCACTTGCAGCCCTGTTAGATAACTTGTTTATAGCTTTGGTAGAAGATGCGCTGTGGCTGCTAGGAGCTGTACTGGAAGAAGATGCGTGACTCTCAGTTGAACTGGCAAGGTTAGAATTTGCACCTGTTGCCACTGCTGTTGCAGCTTGAGTGTATGCTGCCATTCTATCGCGAATAGACGTGAATTTAATGGGACCGTCTTCAGGCCCATTGGCTGCCATCTTGCCTTACACTGTTCAAGGTGATAGTGATATTGACACTGGCACTATGTTACTCAGCAACTCGACCACTGATGTCACTGATGTTCTCCAACTTCAATCTAGCCAGCCAACCTGCTAGCAAGCAAACAGAAGAAAAGAGAGCAAGAGAGAAGAGAAGATAGGAAGAGAGAAGAGAAGAGAGGAAGAGAGGAGAGAAGAGAGGAGAAGAGAAGAGAGGAAGAAGAGAAAAGAAGAGAGGAGAAGAGAAGTAGAGAGAAGAGAAGAGGAGAGAACAGTGAACAGAAGAGAGACAGAGATATACATGTAGACACAATGAGCATCAATGAGCGAGTGCATGAATGAGAGAAGTAGAGAAGAACGACGGTGCATCTGAAGGAGGGGACAGGAGCGGCGGAAGAAGTCTTTGATTTGTCCGGCCCTACCAAAGTCTTTCATTCTACCTGCGTGACATGGCCGCTATACACCACCTCCTCATTCTACCTGCGTGACATGGCCGCGTGACATGGCCGCTATACACCACGTCCTCATTCTACCTGCGTGACATGGCCGCTATACACCACCTCCTCATTCTACCTGCGTGACATGGCCGGTATACACCACCTCCTCATTCTACCTGCGTGACATGGCCGCTATACACGACCTCCTCATTCTACCTGCGTGACATGGCCGCTATACACGACCTCCTCATTCTACCTGCGTGACATGGCCGCTATACACCACCTCCTCATTCTACCTGCGTGACATGGCCGCTATACACCACCTCACTAGTTCACGCGTGTTGACGGCCAAATAGTTGGTCCAGCCATGGCCAGAACAACCAGACGGTTCCGCTGCCCCTGTGGAAGGTAGAATATAGCAGCTATGTTCCGCTGCCCCTGTGGAAGGTAGAATCTAGCACCGATGACACCTTTGACATTAATTCCTGAAATTTTGACAATTGGCCAAGCATGATAGGGATAGCAAATTCCTAGTAAAAAGCTAATCGAGAGGAGAAAAGACAAGTTGATACGAGTTCTGAGTAACTGTAAACCACTTTATTTAACTAGATAATAATTCAGTCTGAAAGTGTGACACCACATGGTGCAAACTGACATTGGAGATGTGTTACAGCTACTGAAATAGGTACCAAGAAGTTGTCAAATATCTCACTACTCCGTCAGCTTTACACCTTGTTGGTGTCACATATTGTGTCTATTATCTAGTTAGAGGCGTGGACAGTTACTCAGAACGTGTGTCAAATTGTCCTTTCTCCTCTCTATATGTATAATAGGCACAGAATCTGGATTTAGAAATGCATACCCTGTGTGACTCCTACACACAATGTCAATACTAGTATGGAACTTATAAAAAATGAAAAGGTGGCAAGGAACTACAAGTTACGCTATAATGTCCACTAACACCATCAGTTACTAAACAATCAGCTCATGCGATAACATTGCACGACACTGACCAACGGTACTGACGTTCTACAACTGATTGTTTAGTAACTGATGGTGTTTGTGGACATTATAGCGTAACTTGTAGTTCCTTGCCACCTTTTTTTATTTTTTATAGATTGTATCCTTGGCTCTCCATCCGAGTACATTCTAGTAAGGAACTGTTATTAGTGTTATTATCTAGAAAAAAAGCTGCCCGAGTCGCAACACGACTTCCTCTATTCTCCATCTTTCATTGAGAGTCTAGCCATACGGTTAGGCAAGCTGGCAGATACAATCGACTCCTGATAGAACGAACACCATTGTGCAGAATTAGTTCTTTAGCCGAAGTTGGTTATACTAGTAACCGAAACGCACTAACACTGTAAGCAGCAAGTCAGTGCCTGTGACTCATACTATACAGCAGCCATCACACTATGCAGCAGCCATCACACCGTACAGCCATCACACCGTACAGCCATCACACCGTACAGCCATCACACTGTACAGCCATCACACTGTACAGCCATCACACCGTACAGCCATCACACCGCACAGCCATCACACCGTACAGCCATCACACCGTACAGCCATCACACCGTACAGCCATCACACCGTACAGCCATCACACCGTACAGCCATCACACCGTACAGCCATCACACCGTACAGCCATCACACCGTACAGCCATCACACTGTACAGCCATCACACTGTACAGCCATCACACCGTACAGCCATCACACCGTACAGCCATCACACCGCACAGCCATCACACCGCACAGCCATCACACCGTACAGCCATCACACTGTATAGCCATCACACCGTACAGCCATCACACCGTACAGCCATCACACCGTACAGCCATCACACTGTACAGCCATCACACCGTACAGCCATCACACTGCACAGCCATCACACCGCACAGCCATCACACCGTACAGCCATCACACTGTACAGCCATCACACCGTACAGCCATCACACTGCACAGCCATCACACCGCACAGCCATCACACTGTACAGCCATCACACCGTACAGCCATCACACCGTACAGCCATCACACCGGACAGCCATCACACCATCACACCGTACGGCCATCACACCGTACAGCCATCACACCGTACAGCCATCACACCGTACAGCCATCACACCGTACAGCCATCACACCGTACAGCCATCACACCGTACAGCCATCACACCGTACAGCCATCACACCGTACAGCCATCACACCGGACAGCCATCACACTGTACAGCCATCACACCGTACTGCAGTTCAGCCTACCTGCAATCAACATGACTGTATTATTACTGTACAAGAGCAGAACATACAACTCCCTAGTCAAAACACCTCAGGCTCAGGTGGCAAGTAGCTTACTGAGCATTCTGAGACAGTACATGTATGTGGGCACCTACTGTACTTGCAGAGTTCTAATCACTGCCACAGAGTAATCCGACAACACAGTCATGATGTCGCTGTACTGCTATATTAGTCATGTCCCAGACTGACTAGCTTACTTTTGGAGTACCATATATGGCTGAATGCTACAGGTAACTACCCAACCTTCACAGGCCAAGTCAGCAATGTTGAAAGTGAAAATGAAAGCTCTACCTTTTCAACTAGATCGCGTGACCATATGTAGCAGAGTGCCGCTTCTGGCACCTAGCGTGACAGTTCGGTGGCAGGTGCCTAGTCACCCTGGACCTGGTGGCATGACAGTGACACTGATACGGGTTGTGCCAAGGCAGGGGACAGGGATGTACCAAGGATATCCCAAGGCAGGGACAAGCACAACAGTGCAGCACCCCCCCCCCCCCCACACACACACGTATACACAGTCATGAATAGCAGACGGACACAAGCACTACCACAACATCCTACATAGTACTTCATGTACATTTGTTAGAGTATCCAAGTAGGCCATACAGCTGGGGGTGAGCTGCCAGCATGTCACATGACATCAGTTCTAGTTTGATTGACAACCCAGTCACAGTGAGTGTAGAGTGTGTTCAAACTGGAAGCAACTGACCCAGTGAAGCAGCAGATGCTTACACTACAAGCATACTATACCCAGTAACAGTCATGACCCAAGTCTCCAGGCCAGCAGCAGCTAATCTATACCCAGCTCATCACGGCACCCAGTGGCCAGAAAATATCCAGCTCTCACGTGCACACACACACACACACACACACACACACACATAAGGCGGGAGTATGTAGGGGACAAAAGACAACTCTTGCAGCACATCGCTCACTGTTGCATACCTTTCAGTGATAACCTGCGTTCAACCTGTCCCAGCAGCAGCAGCAGCAGCAGCCGCCTGAGCAGCACTGTGACTGTGTCCTCTGCTGTGTCCTCTGCCTCTGCTAGTCTCCACCAGCAACTACACCGTATACTCTGCACAGGCACAAGATGTATCAGTAATAGTGTCAACACGGGTACTCAGCTGACTGACTTCACCTTGAGAGCTACACAGAGATTTCTACAAGGCCCAGACCACCGCTATGGCCAAGCAAAGTGAGCAGCAACAATAGCAGCAGCAGCAGCAGCACTCCCTTAACTGTAATTCTCTCTGTGATAAGGAGGAACTCTGGCACAGAGTAATCATAGCCAAACAGAACTCCAGTACTCGGGGTACAGGACTATTAAGCTCATACAGTGATATCGGATTCATATGAATAGACGATAAGAGGTTTTGCTGGAGAGTATTTCCATTCAGCCATGGGAAAGTGTGGTGGACCACATTGAGTCTCCGATTATCTTTATCAGTAGAAGGAACAGCAGAGTTGGTTTATATCAACAATACAACCGATATCTATATTTGTACCATTTACCGGAGCAGGGACGAGAATTACAGCGGCAGTAACAGTAACAGTAACAGTAGAAGCACCACCAACAGCAGCAGCAACAGCAGGGAACAGCAGGGAACAGTAGAAGCAGCAACAACAACAGCAGCAGGGAACAGTAGCACCACCACCAACAGCAGGGAACAGTAGAAGCACCACCACCAACAGCAGGGAACAGTAGGGAACAGCAGGGAACAGTAGCACCACCACCAACAGCAGGGAACAGTAGAAGCAGCAACAACAACCGCAGGAGCAGTAGCAACAGCAGTGGCAACAGCAGTGGCAACAGCAGTGGCAACAGCAGTGGCAACAGCAGTGGCAACAGCAGTGGCAACAGCAGTGACAACAGCAGTGGCAACAGCAGTGACAACACTGAGCAGTGGCAACAGCAGTGGCAACAGCAGTGTCAACAGCAGTGGCAACAGCAGTGACAACAGCAGTGGCAACAGCAGTTGCAACAGCAGTAGCAACAGCAGTGACAAACGTAGCAGGCACAGGAGCAGCAGCATGAACAGGACAACCTTACTCCATATTACAAGTAGGAACACCTAGAAACACCTAGGAACACTGTTGTTACCTTTCATGCTGACCTCCATGGAAGCATAGGTTTTGTTTCCCTCAAACTGATAGTAAGAAAAGCCACACACTCAAGCCAACATGAAATACCACGTGACTTGACCCCATGGACTTCACAAAAGCAGGTCAAAACACTCCTACGGTGTCTCTATTCACATACTTCGAAGTACATGACAAACTGATCTAACCTTCCTCGCGACTTACCTCACTCTGACTCACTGAGCGATCAGTGTATGCTGTCCAACACATCAGCAACTAGCACACACACACACACACACACACACACACACACTCCGCCGTGTTGTTCCTGATACTCCAAGTGATAGCAATGATACCTGCTATACTCCACTCTCGCCAATCTTCATCTACATCACTCAGTAATGCTTCTTCTTTTCTTCAGCTTTCTGTCTTGACTTCTCACACCACCATCACCACAGCACTACTCATCATCATCATCACCACCACCACCACCAACAGCCTGTGTGAGTTCAGCGCACTGGGAAGAGCCTGCCACAAATGGTGTTAGTAAGTACTCCAGGGTCAGCAGTGAGAAGGCTAGTTCATTCGCCGGTTTCACTACAATCATGTTCTTCATCTCTCACAGTACACCAGGTACACCCTTCAGTGTAAATAGCCCGTAGCCACTGGGCATTGTGTAGCCTGTACACCCTGCTATGCACCCTGCTATGCACAGCTAGCTGGGCCAGGTACATAGCAGCTACGTACACTACATAGTACAAGTGCATCACATGCACGCCGTAGACTCTCAGCATTCACAAAGTCTCCTCAGGCTCAGAGTCAGAGAGAAGTCTCCAGTCTTGGTTACTGTGAGTGCAAATGAATGCCATGGCATATTGCTCTCAGTACTGATCTTATTCACAGTGACTGATGACACAAGCACCAATATGTCACCAGGTCACTGTACCACCTGCAGTTGCTGCACATTGCGTAGAAAACATGTTTGGGCAATGCCGGTCGTCAGCATCGGTAACTAAGGTGAAACTAACGCTAACTAGCGATGTGGCAAAGGTACTTGGCCAGGGGAACGACATCTTGCATGGCCTAACGGGCAAGAGCAGAAGCGAAACAGGAAATGTTGTCATCTCCATAAAAGCTAAGCAACTTGCCAAGTGTTGAAGTCGCCCAGTGCAGGGCCTAATGGCTGACTGGCCCAGCCAGCTTAGCATCATGCAGTGCTACTGAACACCATTTTAGCCAACACCA